GACACTCACTGAACACCATTAGAAACCAGGCCATCGCTGAGGATTTGTGTTTTGGTTTGCTTTTTGCTTTGGCTTACATAAGGACTTGAGATATTTAGTTTGATTAAGAACTTTCTAGTTCCAGAGGTGGAGCCTGAAGCAGGTTTTATTTTTTTTCTTTTAATGAGTGGAACTTTCCAGAGACAACAACTCACTGACTATGGCTAGGAACACCCTATGCTTTGCTGTGGCATCTACCCATGAGAGGGGGTGGTTATGGAGGAGAAGGAGGTGGATCCCGCCCAGTGAGCGGTGTCATAGTACTGTTTCTCTCCACTCCAGGCAAGTTTGGCAAAGGCAGAAGCTGACTTTAGAGAAGACTGGCGGACTTGTCCTAACAACTCACAGCCTCTCTGGAAGCAGTCCTTTTGGGAGGAACTGAATTGTCAGTGAGAGCAATGGCAGGTGCCAGAGCGGCATCCCAGGGCAGGGCATGGCTGGTTCAGAAGGCCATCTGTCCTCCTTCATCCTGGGGCCTACTGCATGGGAGCGTGGTGGGGACAGGGCTGCCCGTGTCCAAGTATCCTATCTACCCTTTAAATATATAGGGCCAAAAGGAAAATCACACCCTTCTTTTCAAACATGGCACCAGAGCCTGGAGCTTAGTGGCTGTCCTATAATCAAGTGGCATCAGTCAATTTTATAACCAAGCTCTGTGGCTTTTAACTACTTACATTTCCTCCTGAACTTAGCACTTCAGACCTTCTTTTTTTTTTTTTTTTTTTTTAGGGGTTTTTTCTAAAGGGGCCTTGTGCCCGCCAAAACGACAGGGGGGTCTTGGGCATGCACGCACCCGGCGTGAGTTTAAGCCACCAGGTCTGGGACTCGAACCACGGTCGACCTCGTGGGAGTCCAGCAACATAGCCATTACGCTAACTGCTGGTCCCACTTCAGACCTTCTTATGTGCCTTCACCCACGTTGTCTCATGGCTTAGATGTATTGGAAAATATCGACTCCAGGAGAAATTGCTTTTCCCTAACACAGTGGTGAATTTAATAAACAAAGAAAGCCTGGAGACAAAGTTGTGCTGACTTGGGGAACCCTAAGCCCAGCAAAAGGGTTTATCCCAGGATTGCCTCACCAACACACCTTTTCTGAGGAAGAGAACTCTGCTTAATCCTTGAAACTCCAAACAAATTGGAAATGTAATCAATAGAGTTTATATTAGGTCATTGGGAAAGTCATGAAGTATTTCTCTGTTTTTCTACGCAAAAATGCATCATGACTTTCCTGATGACCCAGGACTAACCAACCAGGTCACTGAACTGGCTTGGCCCCTGACAGCCCACTAACAGGTGACTGCAAAATCTCACCTCTCAACAGACCTTCTTTAGGTGAGAGAACCCAAATGAGGTTGCCCCTTGCTATTTTTTTCAGTGAAAACCTGAAACACTATCTGGATGCTTTCAAGACGTTTATAGCTGCTCAAAAAACTGATGGAGCACTTATTAGCTCCATCTAATAAGTGCCTGGCAATCACTGACCTCTCAAACTGCATATGGATTTTGAAAGGTTACTGGAAGATGAAAAATGTTATGGATGTGCCTAGGCATGAAAGGCAAGCATGAAAACACAAGCATTTGCTTCTCTCTGGACAACATAAACCCAAAAGCCTACAGAAGCCTGATAGGGACATTCCAAGCCTCTCTGCCTCCTTGACATTTAGGATACAAGGAGGCACACTAGTTGCTCACATCAGGCTGAGAGGTTCAATAACTTTATCCAAATTTCAACAACCAGTAAGTAGTGGTAGGCAGACCTAGGATTCCAGAGCTCCTCTGCCTTCTAATCCAGTGCTTTTGGGCCCTCCAGAGAATGAGGTCTGCACACTTAGCTTGTCTAAAGCCCAGTGGAGCAAGTGGTGTAATTTCTAGGGCTAATTCTCAGCGAGCTGCCAACCACTACCAGGATTAACTAATGACAGGCTTGCCTCCCTACCATTTGCACTACAAGGAAAGTATACCCCAGAACAGATGCTCCTCAGCCACCCTGGATTCCCTAGTCTGTAGGGTGATGGGTCTGAGCTGACACTTGTGAGTGTTCTGCACCTAACGACCTGTGACTTTTCAAAAAGAGAGTCTGGAGATATGAGAATCCCACTTACTTGCATGCCTCTGTTGTTTACAGAGCCCTTTCCTGCATAATCTCATCTGACCACCATGACAACCTTAGTGATATATTACATAGGTTCTTTGAAGATTTCTGAGTTTCCAAAGTCAACCTGTTCAAACAAAATACCCTCAGGAAGGGACATTTTTTTGAGAGGTTTTTGCTATAGGGCGCTTGTGCTCGCCAGACAGACAGAGACAGAGAGATAGAAACAGAAAGCAAGAAATCACCCCCCAGAGGGGATGGCCATGCCGCAATCCCTTCTCCTCCCTTCTCCTCTCGGGGTCTTGGGCATGCACGCACCCGGCGTGAGTTTAAGCCACCAGGTCTGGGACTCGAACCACGGTCGACCTCGTGGGAGTCCAGCAACATAGCCATTACGCTAACTGCTGGTCCCACTTCAGACCTTCTTATGTGCCTTCACCCACGTTGTCTCATGGCTTAGATGTATTGGAAAATATCGACTCCAGGAGAAATTGCTTTTCCCTAACACAGTGGTGAATTTAATAAACAAAGAAAGCCTGGAGACAAAGTTGTGCTGACTTGGGGAACCCTAAGCCCAGCAAAAGGGTTTATCCCAGGAATCCCTCACCAACACACCTTTTCTGAGGAAGAGAACTCTGCTTAATCCTTGAAACTCCAAACAAATTGGAAATGTAATCAATAGAGTTTATATTAGGTCATTGGGAAAGTCATGAAGTATTTCTCTGTTTTTCTACGCAAAAATGCATCATGACTTTCCTGATGACCCAGGACTAACCAACCAGGTCACTGAACTGGCTTGGCCCCTGACAGCCCACTAACAGGTGACTGCAAAATCTCACCTCTCAACAGACCTTCTTTAGGTGAGAGAACCCAAATGAGGTTGCCCCTTGCTATTTTTTTCAGTGAAAACCTGAAACACTATCTGGATGCTTTCAAGACGTTTATAGCTGCTCAAAAAACTGATGGAGCACTTATTAGCTCCATCTAATAAGTGCCTGGCAATCACTGACCTCTCAAACTGCATATGGATTTTGAAAGGTTACTGGAAGATGAAAAATGTTATGGATGTGCCTAGGTCTCTGTTTTTCTACGCAAAAATGCATCATGACTTTCCTGATGACCCAGGACTAACCAACCAGGTCACTGAACTGGCTTGGCCCCTGACAGCCCACTAACAGGTGACTGCAAAATCTCACCTCTCAACAGACCTTCTTTAGGTGAGAGAACCCAAATGAGGTTGCCCCTTGCTATTTTTTTCAGTGAAAACCTGAAACACTATCTGGATGCTTTCAAGACGTTTATAGCTGCTCAAAAAACTGATGGAGCACTTATTAGCTCCATCTAATAAGTGCCTGGCAATCACTGACCTCTCAAACTGCATATGGATTTTGAAAGGTTACTGGAAGATGAAAAATGTTATGGATGTGCCTAGGCATGAAAGGCAAGCATGAAAACACAAGCATTTGCTTCTCTCTGGACAACATAAACCCAAAAGCCTACAGAAGCCTGATAGGGACATTCCAAGCCTCTCTGCCTCCTTGACATTTAGGATACAAGGAGGCACACTAGTTGCTCACATCAGGCTGAGAGGTTCAATAACTTTATCCAAATTTCAACAACCAGTAAGTAGTGGTAGGCAGACCTAGGATTCCAGAGCTCCTCTGCCTTCTAATCCAGTGCTTTTGGGCCCTCCAGAGAATGAGGTCTGCACACTTAGCTTGTCTAAAGCCCAGTGGAGCAAGTGGTGTAATTTCTAGGGCTAATTCTCAGCGAGCTGCCAACCACTACCAGGATTAACTAATGACAGGCTTGCCTCCCTACCATTTGCACTACAAGGAAAGTATACCCCAGAACAGATGCTCCTCAGCCACCCTGGATTCCCTAGTCTGTAGGGTGATGGGTCTGAGCTGACACTTGTGAGTGTTCTGCACCTAACGACCTGTGACTTTTCAAAAAGAGAGTCTGGAGATATGAGAATCCCACTTACTTGCATGCCTCTGTTGTTTACAGAGCCCTTTCCTGCATAATCTCATCTGACCACCATGACAACCTTAGTGATATATTACATAGGTTCTTTGAAGATTTCTGAGTTTCCAAAGTCAACCTGTTCAAACAAAATACCCTCAGGAAGGGACAGCACCTTCAACATTTATGGGCTCACACCATGGCAGTAGTTAGCAGCTGGCTGGGAATTAGGCCCTAAGAAGTGGGAAACAGGACTCAGAAAGACTGGGAGAGGGCCAAGGGGAAAGAAGAATGAAAGGGGAGGTGGGGAGTTCTAATGCCCTCCCAACAGCCAACCTCACGGTTTTCCAGAAAGAGGTTCTCAGTGAGCCATTCCTTGCTCCGACCCCAACAGACCAACTCTACCCACAAGGACCAAAAGTAGAGAGGAAAAAAAAAAAACAAAGAGCATCAATAGGTGAGATTGGGAGAGAAGATGGAATAAATCAACCATCAGAGGCTTTTCAATCTTAATTCATTTTATTCTACAAAATACTACTCAACTGAAAGTGGAAAAGCTACCTTTAAAAAAAATCATGAGAAAAAAAAGTTTTAATATGTTCTTTCTTCCATAGCAGCAAGCTTTTTCTAACAAGCTTTCTTTAGTGCAAATACTGTAGGCTGTATTACATACAGTAAAACAACAAAACAACGACAAAAAACCCCACCATAGATGCTTCGGAGCAGAGCTATCTTCAATGTTCAAAACTATACAAAGATGTTGAGCTCATGGTCCTGCCTGAAGAGGTCTACTTAGGAGAATCTCCGAGAGGACCATTTTACCATTACTTAGAAAATGGGGGTGGGGGGAAAGCCCAGAAAAGAATTCAGTTCCCCAAAGAGCGATACGAACCTTGTACAACTTGTTTGCCTCCAGGGTCTTATAGCAGACTTTACTCCACGTCATTGACATATTTCAAATACAGATGCACAAAGCTCAAGGTTTTCCACTATATACCAAAATGCTATCTATATACACATCTCCCACGGCAGAAAAGACACCCTGATACCTATTCTTTATACAAGTTGAATATTTTCTTTCTCAAAATCAAGTAACCACAAACTAAAATAAATGGAATAAACTTTTAATCATACAGAGAAAATAATTTTTGAGAACAGGGCAGGATCTTTCATTGTGTTCTCTTACAATGTAGATTTCTTTTGGTGACCATTGTCCCCAGAGGAATGACAGTCCATCTTTAAAAACAGAATTGTTTTATACAGTTTATACAGCACAAGTCACAAATCACTTTGGAAACAAACAAAAAAGCATTATTATCCTAAATTTAAACAAAAAAAAAATAAAGGAAATGAGAGAGAAGAATTGAGTATTTTAATGCTATCTGTTTCTATTCAGGCTTGGTACAACACAACAAAGATGTAAACATTTAAAATAAATAATAAAATAAATGTCAATTTCTTTTCCCCTTCTCCTTCTGATACCCCACCTCAAAATCTGACCCAGCCCCTCCTGAACATGTTGTCAGCATCAGGAAATTAAAACCCCTTGTGGAGTAGGGCCAAAACACTAGAAGCATAAGAAGATGAGAAATTAGTGGGATGACTGGGTTTCCTTTTAAAAAGCTGCAGGAGGACATGGGGACACCTGGAAATGTACACACACACACACACACACACACACACACACACACACCAACCTGTCAATAAATAGTGAGATGAATGCCAAGAAGACTCAATAAGCAGAACACAGCAAGACCCCTTACATTTTTTTATAAAAGTGATACACACCATATATTCTATTGGTCCACAAATTCTATGAGGACTTAGGTTCCCCCTCCAGCCTTCTAAGGAGTGCAAAGGAGCACATGGTGGGGCAGAAGTTTGGAGGTGCAAGGCTGTTGTGGAGGAGGGTCTCTGAGAACAAACATCAGACCAAAGGCAATCCTACCTTGGATCATCAAACAAAGTCCTCACTTCCAACTGTTTGGGTTCATCCATTACTGGGGGGGCCTTTTAGAAGGGGATGTTTTCATCCCTTAGGCTCATCCTGAAAAGGATGGATATAAAAGTGCCTAACACAGTGCCTGGCACATAGTAGGTGCTTATTCTTTTCCTCCCTAAAGGGGCCACGCAGATGTCTGATTGGGGAAGGAAGTCAGCCTAGAAGTTAAATGGCAAGACAGCAAGGAGCTCTATTGGCATGTCAGGCAGAAGAGAGAAAAAGTTCCAGTGCTCCAGACGGTTCACCTCACGCTTAGAGTCAGGGGAAAGAGCCTGAGAAAAGCAGCAGCAACCCCTATGGCTGTTGGCTTTGGGAGGCATGTGTGTCTGGCCACGGAGGATATCCCGCCTCTCATGCCCAGACAGAACAATGTTTGACTCTCCAAAAAATCTCCCCAGTGAACCTTCCACTTAGAGGTGTTCTAACAATTTTCGAAGCTTCACTTGGGATCTTCCTCTTTCCCATCCACCTGGCCAGGAAGAAGACTATCCCCAGAGAGTCCAGTTAACTGACCAAAACTATGTGTTTCATATCGGCCCATCAAGGAGTGGCTGCCCTATGCCATCCCAGAGCTACCTGCAGCCTAACCAGGGCCCACCAGCTGCCTCACAGCCAGGGCCACGGGGAAGCACAGCAGTTTCTGACCTAGCACAAAGGCAGCCACTCCTGTAGCTGAAGCCATGCAGGAGGAAGCAGCAGGCGAGTGTCTGGTGATTCTGAAGCGAAAGCCTAAGTGAATGAACTTGGAGAGCAGGCCAGAAGGAAGTAAACTGAGGGCATGCTCATGACTTAGGTGTAAATACAACCTCCTAGGACTAAACCAGGGAGTCTTGAAAGAGACTGCAGCTCAGAGGCTCTTATAATCCTCCGGGTTGACTGAGTTCTTGCCTTCTGCTGGCCCCAACCCCAACACAACTTGAAATCTGAACAGAAGCCAAAATTCTGTCTCAGGAATGTCCAGCCTGGCCCCAACTCACAGACCATGACCTGTGTTGGGATCCATATTGCAAAAGTGGGGTGTAAGACGGCTTTAGGAAATCAAAGAACAGAAAGTCGTTTCATTTAAGAAATATCTATATGCACGAAGAAGAAAAGAGCTCCCATTTGGCTGCAAATACCACTTGAGATGATTAAGGTTGTCAGAGCTGAGCGCACCTCATTTTTTTTTTTTATTTGTCCATCTCCCGCTAATCCTGGCTAATTCTGTTCCTTTGATTAATGCGAAACAGAAATCCAATTGCCCAATCTTCTTAGGAGCGTCCCTCCCAGAGCCCCCTGGGAAACTGGGAAGGCAACATCACGGCCAAGGAATGCGGGAAATAACATCTTAAAAGTATTTTGAACAAAATCCTTTTTCTTTGTATCTCCTCTCTCTGCGTGGCCTTTCCTTGCCCACGTCACTTCCAGCCCCACTGGGCTGTGTGTTTTAAGCATACGGTCGACCCATCTTGCACACCTAGCACACGAAAGTGGGTGATGGATGTTAAATAGCAAGCAGCACGCACAGCCTAGGTGTGTGAATGTGTCACAGCCTCTCTCCACTCAAACTTTGCAGTTTAACCCCCTCCGAGTGTGACTTCAATAACATCGATCTCATTTTCAGTCAGCACACAGTGATCCCTAGAGCTGCAGGAACTGCGGTCTCCTCAGAGCACTACTCCAGGACGGGCCAGTTTGAACCAAAAGCTGCTCCCAGGACATATGTCAAGACCCTGCTTGGCAGCAAGCCCAGGGCGAGCTATGCCCTGGGCTGAAAGGCTGTGGTGAGAGGGAGGCAGGGACTCCACTGAGTCGTGCTGTTGCTGGAGGCCAGGAGAACCCTTTCCCCACCCCCACCCACCCTGTGGGAAGGGGGCAGCTCTCTGCAGTGGGAAGCCACCCGTCCTATCTCCGGTTGCAGCTGCCGGAACGCTCTACAGGCAACCATGGATGACCATGACTGGTGCAGAAGCCATAAGACTCAGCAACAGCTCGGGCAGCAGTTCATGGCGTGCTGACTGGGGTGTGGGCAGGGGGAGTGTGAAAGAGCAAGCACTCATCCATCAGGTGGAAGGTGACCCCAGAGGGCGGGAAAGGTCCAGCACCTCACTGCAAGGCCAGCAGCCTGGGAAGGGAGAGCTGGGCTCTGCAGCAGCTCCAAGACCTGTCTTCTTCTGCCCTCCCCCTGCTTTTCCATTCATGCAAATGCTCCTTTGAGGCTTGAGGAGGGGCCACCTGGCAGCAATCTGAGGAGGGTCCAGGCCCACGCTCATTAAATCTCCGTGGGTGGCGTCCCCCTGAGAGCCAGGGGGAAAGGGTGGAGCCCAACAGGGACTTGGAGTTCTGTGTGGTTCCTAGGGAGGGACGCCTCCCAGGCCTGCAGAGAAGGGTCCAGGGGCAGAATGGCGAGGCAGTAATTACAGGAGACGCCCTGCTCAAGACACCGGGTGAAGGGAAGCTGGCTAGAACACCCATGTGGCTTTGTTGGCACTATTCCTGGCCTGGTAATTAAGCGTTTGGCAAACCTAACCTGTGCCTGGCTGTCTCACTCACACCCTGTCTTCTGGCCGAACGGCTCCTCTAGTAGCCATCTCCGAGGGTGGCAAGGAAAGGTCCTCTGAGCTGCCAGCATGGGTGCAGCTCCTGGGTGCTCGGGGAGCCCTGCCGGGGGTTCTGGAGATGCTGGTGCACAGGGAGTATCAGGGAAGGTTCTGTATTGCACTTAGACTGTCCCCTTCTGGACAAGTCGGCCCCAGCAGAAGAGTCACCTGCTGCCCCATCTCCAGAAACGAAGAACTTTAATATGCAGACCACCCGGATGAAATGTCATGGCAAATTTGATAAAAACCAAGAGGGAGAGAAATTGACACTGGGGAAGGGAAGGGACAAGTCGAAGGAAGGTGAGACCCAAAGGCACTGAGCATGCTTGGAAGGGCAGGGAAGGACACCATCACTCCAAAGAATATCGCAATGAAGGGACAAGAACTGTCCAGGCCAGCTTCAGGCTCTTCAGAAGCCAGAAAGATGTCAAGGCCACCAAACCAAGTTCTCCAAGGCTTTTCAAGAAATAGGATTTGCTTGCAAGATACATGAGAGGGAAGGTCCCATGGCTTCCAAGAGATCAACCCAAGTCATCCAAGGCCTCACCGCCAAGTCCCACCTGGGTCCCTCAGAGACTAGGGGCTCCTGGCTGGGTCCTCTTGTCCTCACAGCCCTGGAGTGCTCGAAGGTGCTGGTCCCTGGGAAGGAGGTGGTGACGAGGACCCCCTCCGGAGCTGGGAAGCAGAGGTGTGCTGGGTTACAGGGCCAGCAGAGTGGGGGAGTTCAAGGAGTCTGATGACTGGTCCCCACTGCTACTGCTTCTGCGGTGAGCCTTGGAGCAGGACTCAGAGGGTGATGCAGGTGACTCCTGCTCCAGGACGCTGGGGTAGGTGAAGACGAGGTTCGAGGTACCCGGAGTGATGGCAGGTGTGGAGGTCACCACGATGGGGGTGTGCAGGGGCTCCTCTCCATAGAAGCCCCCAGCAATGCTAATGGGCTTGATGACAGAGCGCTGGGCCTTGTCCAGCCCTGCTGATGAGGATGAGGGGCTGTCCTCTTCCAGGGGCTCCTGTTTCACCACCACGGCACCCACGGCACTGCCCCCACTGCGCATGGGCTGCAGCCCGGGGGCTGGGGGCGATCGGCGCTCCTCGGGGCTGATCTTGCACACAGGGCCGTGGGCTACCAACATGAACTCCAGCTTCTCCTTCTCCTTCTGCAGCTCGGCGATCTCTTTCTGCAGGCCTGACTTCTCCTCCTCCAGCTCTTCCGTCTCCTGCAGGGGAAAGAGGGATGTGAGGGATAGCTGTCTGCCACAGACCTGCTGGGGATGGTTCCAGTTCAGGCGAGGAAGAGAAACAGCGATGCCTTCAGACAGCCAGGACAGCAGCCAGCTCATGCACCTGGCCCGAGCCCCACCTCAGAGCTGAGATAACAACTGTATTGCCATAACAGAGCACCTACTTTGTGCAAGGCACTGTGTGCAGCCCTTTAGAGATGACTTCATTTGCTTCTTCAACAGTTTTTGGAAGCAGATATCATCAACCCATTTTGCAGATGAGGAAACCAAGGTTCAGAGAGTAGTTTAGTAATTTGTTCTAAGTCACAGATTCAGCAGGTGGGCCAGCCCAGATTTGAATCCTAAGGGATCTGACTTTAGAGTCCATGTGTTATTACGTGCTATTGCCTTAGTGCTAGGAATGCCCCCCGGGAGCCCCTGAAGACAAGTCATATAGAAATGTGCATGGAGAAGGGAGAACTGCACCCCCTTTCTCTTTCTTTACCTCCCCAATGCCATGCCACCCCACCTATGGACATACAAACGTGAAGTCCTAAGCTGCATGAGAGTGGAGACTTTGCTGTGCCTCTCTGAGCCCCAGTGCCTAGAACAGTGCCTGGCTCGTAGTAAGAGCTCATCCAATCCCTGCTGGGTCAGTGCAGACCCTCCTCCCTTTTTTGCTCCAATTTCAGGACTCACAGAAGCTTCAATGACGTTCAGCTCAGGTGTACTGACAGTTTGAGAGGGCCTGTGGGGATGCTAGGGTCACCTTGAAAGGATCTCAGCCCCCTTCTCTCTTACAAAGCCAGAGGAGCAGAAGCAAGCAGATACACGTGGAAGGAGCAGCTGTGGGAGGGGGAAAGGTGTGTGTCATCAGCCTCCTCCCCACTATTTTCCTAACACAGATTCCTGCTCACAGACAAGGACAGGAGATACAAGCAAGAGCTTCATTAAGCATATTCCGGAGTGAAAAAAAGTTTCCATCTGTCTCAAGGGCCTGATGAACGTCACGAGCTTACAAGAGGCTTCCTGTGGAGGATGTGGCTCAGGGGCCTGCATGGCTAGGTCAGGGGTGGGGGAGGCGGGGGAGTACGGTGCAAGGCTTCTGGGAGGAGGAAAGGAAAGCAGAAGGGCCTCGGAAGGTGGGGCTGTTCTGGGGCTGGTGGGAAGAAATGCCTAGGGTAGACACGTGGGGCATAGCTCCTAGAAGTGCCCGACCAGGGAGAGGTTAGTGGTGGGGAAGGGCTGTGCTGAGGGACTCTCTCTATACAGGACTGATACCTCAAGGATTTGCCTCCCCTGAGTGCAAGAACTCCCAGTCCTCTTCCTTGCCTCTAACACTTCCATAGGACATTACTACAGTCATCACAGAACTTATGCAAACATGTTCAGTGCCCACTGGGAGGAGGGGTGCAGGCAGAGCAAAGGGAGACTTAAGCAGACAAGTACTTAGGAGGATTAAATAAAGTGATGGGATAGTGTTCTAGGCCCCATCCTTGCCATCCATTGTGAAGCCTGGCATCACCTGACAAAATCTTCCACCTGGGAGAGTCAGCCCTGGCATTGGGCTTTTTCTACAGGGCTCACGGCTCTTCCTGTAGGGCTGGGCTCAGGAGGCAGTTACGTGATGTTGGTCAGGTCAAGCTTACAAGAAAGAAGGGCAGGGCCATGCCCCCCAGGTCTGGGCAATTAGGCAGCATGGGAGCATGGGAGAGTGACTCACAAGGGCAGAACGAGGCACCACGACCACAGTTCTAGGCTCCATAATAGAGACAGGGACCCCTCCTGCCCAAGAAAGATATAAAACCCCCAAAGACAACTGACTAACATGTGACCAGGACCTCTGCTGTCCAAACCAGAGTGCTGTAGCCACCCTGGGCCACCCTGTTGGCAGTAGGCATGGAGGTGGCTAGATCCTGAGGAAGTAGCCCTGGCGGGGGCTGGGCCTCCCCTGGCTCCTGGGCACTGGCAATAGAGACATCTCTCACCCAGGAGCTCCATCAGGGCTGAGAAGGGAACATTCAGGTGCTGAGTGACAAAAGGAACTAGGCCCAAGAAGGATGTGCGGTTCTCTCTGGGCCCAGGCTGGTGACAAAGGCCAGCCCCCACCCATTCCCTTCTCTTTTTTGTGAGCAGCACAATGCTGACCCCTGTGCTCAAAGGAAGGAATGTTCTATCTCCACGGACTCATCCATAGGGTTCTGTGAGCAAGGGGAGGGATGGGAGGGCCAGGAGCCCTGGGGCTCTTACTTCAGCCCACCCAGAAGTACTCCCACCCCACACAGAGCTCCTCACCGCCTGCAGCTTCTCAGTCAGCTCCCGGCGCCGGTTCCGGCACTTGGCTGCAGCCAGCTTGTTCCTCTCCCTCCGGATTCGGCGCTTCTCCTCCTCCTCGGGAGACAGCTAGAAGCCAAGGTCAAGGATCACAATTAGAGTGGGTTAAAGGGCTCACAGCACTTTTTTTTTTTTTTTTTCAAGTTTCTTTCTT